GCAGAGAATCCAATGAATGAAAGTTCACATTCCGGCGAATTTTCCCAATCCCCACCCCACACCTAGCGTCCAGAGTTTGGGACCTCTCAGACAGACAGGCAGGCAAACCACACCTCCAGAGACTGACAGACTCACAACATGAGTGTGAGCCTGATATCAAATACAGGTTCAACATTCCCCGAGGCCCATCAGCCAGGCCCGGAGGGAGGCGATCTCCCTACCTTCACTTCCCTCCAGGGCCTCTGCTGGAGACCCGGAAGACTCCATTCCTCCAGTTTGGTCCAATCCAGCCTCGGGAAGCTCCTTCGTTACCTGCTCCTCGGCTCCCCACGGCCACAGATGCAGGGCAGCCGCCTCCACCGGGGGAGGGAAGCCTCGGCCACCGCAGCCACCGCCGCCCGCCCTCCTTCCCTCCCTCCCTCCCTCCCTCCCTCTTTTTCGCCCTCCCTCCCTCTCCCTCCCTTGCACGCTGCCGCTCCTCTGGCCCTCCTGCAGGCAACCTGCTCTGGACCAAATCCAGGTATCTCCGAAAGAGAGAGAGGAAAAAGACCCTCTTAGGTGGAAGGGGTGGGGTGGGGGGGGGAAGATCCTTAACTGCGTTTATTTTGCGTGCCGTGACCACTGATCGGCCTCAATTCCAACATCCAGGCCACGGCCTCCAGCCGCAGAGGTGTGGAGGCCCTGCTGCCTAGCCCACGCCCCGCAGCCCGGCCTCGCGCACTGCGCGCTCCACACTCTCTCGGCCGCCGCCCCTCGGCAGCCAAAACACCAAACAAACCTCAAGGTCCTCTCAGCAGACTCAACATCCGGTTGCCCGCCTTGCCGGCGGCCTCCGCCTGAGAGCCCCACTACCCTAAATCTGTGGCCAAAGTCCACATACAGTCCACCTTGTCAGGGGTCTCCTCTCCTTTCCTCTCCTCTGGCGCCAGGCTGTGATGCCCTGCCCAGCCAAGCCTCCCGCGGGCTGCAGCCCTGCCCGGGACTTCAGCCCTCGCCCCCTGCACCGGAACCACACAAAGCCCCGCGCGCCCATGCGTTCCCACCCGCAGCTACTTGTCCCAGGCAGTCGCCACTCTTCACCTGTTCCGGGAAAGGGCTGTGTCTCCGAACCGAAACCAGACGCTGGGCTGGGGCAGAGGTTGTGGGGAGCTGAGTCTCCAGGGAGGCCACAGAGGATCGGCCTGAGCAGAGCAGGAGTGCCCACAGACGGCGAGATAATCCCAGACCAAGATTCTCCTAGGCGAGCTCTTGCCTTTTGCTCCTTCTCCCGCAAGTCTCCAACACTCACACGCCGAGAGTTCAGCTCTATAAATCCTGCTCTTCTTTCCCATATCATAATTAAAAAAAACCAGTAGGGGAGGTTTTAACTTTTATTGCGATTTCTGGAGTTGGGCTGAGGAGCATATATTAAGTTTACGCTTATGCGCTCTCTGCGGGAAGGGTCCTTTAAGAAATAAAAATCCATCTTAATATCCTCAGACGAGAGAGATAATTTTTTCCCTCCTCTTCACGCTGTTCCTTCGGAAGACTCCCTTCCAGCGAAGTGAATAAATAATCGCCCTCGCCTTAGCCATGATCCACAGCCCCAGGGCCCTGGAGTGGACTTTGGCCACCAGACTGGCCCTCACCTTGGCCCTATGAGACCTTGCCCTATTCCCTAGAATTTGGGGAAGGGGCCACCCCGACCCCAATTCTGTTGTTACCGCCCCCATTGCCCAATGACTCTAAAGCAGAAATGGGGGCAGGGGTACCCAAAATGCAGAAGTCGTTCATTGGTGAATTTCGGTCCATCAGGGACACAGTCCCTAAGCCAGACACTCGCGAGCGCCCCGCCCCTGCCTGGAATTCCCTGCACTCCAACCGGCTCCATGCTTTGGACAATCTGAAGACACCGATCTGCTGGGGTTCCTCCTGTCTGGGTGCCCCCTCATCTGCCTCAAACCAGTTTGTTTCTTTGAACGCTTTTCTGTTTTCCCTCAGCCGCCATGGAAAGGGAAGGAGATTTTTTTTTTACCCCCCAGAAAAGAATCGGGAAAAGACAGGATGGCCAATTCAGCTTGGGAGTTAAAAAAGCTTGATTCTTATTTTTCTCCTTCACTCTCTTTATGGTCAAAAGGGAGAGACTAGAGAGAGAGGACTAAGTATGTGTGTAAATTCATGCACGGCTTTGAGAAAGCCTTGAGGTGGCAGGGATAGGACAGAGACCTGTACTAGTAAGTCTACCTCCCCAAAGACAACTGGAAGGATGCAGATTCCAGTGTACAGATTTGGTTACCTTGAGTGGACATGATTTCGGTACCTTGTTACAAAGTTTATACTGCTTTAATTAATCATCATAATTCCAAAGTATGAGAACCAAGGATCCATGTTCCTTCTCTTAGTGTCCACTGCCTCAGTCTCTCTGAGGGAAGGAGTGCATCTCCCTATTCTCCTGGACCCCACACGCCCTTTTTTTTGGGGGGGGGTCAGAGAAACCTCTTTAAAGCACCTTCTCCCTAGGAACCAGGACCATACCTGAAACACCAGAGGTGAAAAGGAGGGAAGGGTGGGAGGAAGGTTTGCAAAGTTTTCACTTGGCTCAGATTATCCTGACCCCCTTCTCCTCCCCTTCTTCCCCTGGCACCAACCATCCTTTCCAACAACGTGGCAATGAAGGCACCAGGCCACCTCTGTTCATCCAGACATTTCCACACAGCCACCGAAAAGGCACACAGCTGCCTGACAGCCACAGACACACAAACCAAGGCCTGCCTGCAGGACCAGAGACAGCCAGACAGAAATCAGAGCCAGGTTTTTGCCCTGAGGTTTCCCAGTAGGGGGTGTGGGGGGGGGCATGTTTCCACTTGGATTTGATGGCTTTCCTCTAACCTCCTAACATGCTAAATATGCCTTTGCCCATGGAGATGAAGTTATAGTAGGGGAACAGGAGGTAACTGGGTTGGGGCTCAGAGTTCCCCAACTCTTGGGATGCCCTAGGTACCCCATTTTTTAAAAGAGGAAGCTCCAGTGCCTGCCAACTGGAGACAGAATCTTTACTTGTAAAAGGCAGGTGAGAAAAACTAAACATTCCAGAGACTTCCTTTTCTTTCTCTGCCATTCTCCCCCTTAATGATCCCATCCCACCCTGCTGCCCGAATAAGCTGGCCCTTTAGGCCATCTCTTCCTCAAACTCCTGAATTTCCTAGGAATTGGCTGCACCTTCTTTGTCTCCATCAGCTGGGCCCAGGAGACAATAGCTGCAGGAAAAACTCCTCTCCCTCAGTCACAGGGATTGGGACAAGCTGAGGAGGGAACGGCATAAAGCGGGGTTCCTCAGACTTATCCCGCAGCTTCACTCATAGCTGGCCCTCCTTAGTGTGTCCCCCGCTCTGCCTGATGGGGGAGGAGGCTGTGGGGCCGCTCCCCTGGGGAGAAAGGAAGCAGGACTGGTGGGTTAGGGCCCTCGACGAAAACCGACTGATGTAACTCAGGCAGTTTCTTGTTGCCGAGTTCAAAACTCAATCCCAACAACATGAAACTACCTAAGCCACAGATCAGCTGAGCAAGCAGGGCGGGAGATTCGGCTTTGCATCTATCCAGAGGAGAAGGGAAGGGGGTTGGGGAAGGAAGAAATTCAGCCCCGTCCCCCTTTCCGCCCCCACAACCTCCCTGAGGACTGGAGGGCAGACTTCAAGTGACTGGGTGGCTAGGAGGGTCTGATTGCCTGACCAGATTCTGATCTCAGAAAATTGCTCAGGGAAAATCTGGTGAAATAGGATTTCTGGCCACCAAATCCCTGCTCCATCCCCAGGACTGCGGAGGAGGCAGTCCCCTGCCTCTGGTCCCAGCCCTGGGGGAAGCTGGGGCGTCCTTCCACTCGAACTGGGTTGTCCATCCTTCTTCCCTTCCCTCTCCTCAAACTCCCTCTCCTCCTCTCACTCTCCGGGCTCTCTCCTGCTTCTGGTCTGTGTGTGACTGAACTAAGGCGCCTATGCTCCGGAGCTACTTCCAATCAGGCCACTTGTCTGGCAAAGTCCCACAGTCAGAGAGTGTGGAGACACAGAGCCCGTCCAAGGCTTACACTCACAGCAGCAAAAAAAACAGGAAAACCTAAGCTTCAAACCCAAATGCTTTCCTTACACACCCCGCAGCTCCTTCCTCCCCACAGACAAGCGGACTGAGCAGCACTTAGACCTATGTGTCAACCTCAAGGCGATTCTAAATGCCTGCCAGCAGAAAGAAGCCCAAAATGACCAGTTCACCCCTTTAACTCCCACCGAAGCCCATACAGAGGTCTGGGGAGGAGAGGAGAGGGAGCACTTGGCCGTTGCCCTCTCTGTTTAAGTGGCTGCCAGGTGAGCCTCCGGCTTTCTGCAAGCCCAGTGCCTGAGACACCTTCCATCCGACTTTGCTGGCCCATGCCGGGCACCTGGGGACACAGCGAGTCCCTGCGCCGCCGCCAAGAGAAGAAGAAACCGCTTCTCTTACCTTGACGCTGCTTCCTTCTCCTGCCTCTGCCGGGCGCTTCTGCTGCTGCTCCTGTTGAAGGAGGCTGAGCTCCTCGTCCCCCTCCGGCGGTTAAGTTTATTCCTCTCTTTGGATGGGTGGGGGCCTCTTGGGGTACCCCCCAGCAGCAGTGGGGTGCGCTGGGCCCAGCACCCCAGGCAATCAGATCCGTCTGCTCCTCAAGATTGCAGTTTGCTCTCTGCTTCTTTCCCTCCTCCAGTCACCTTTAAATGCATCTTTTACTGCAGCACCACATTATATTTGCAGATCATAAAATCCACCTCTCGCGCGCACCAAGACCGTCCTGACATTACTGTTTTATGACCTTGACTTATTGTGGTCACCTGGATAATATTTAAATCAACGTTATGGTCTCTCACTTACATTAAACCCGCCAAGAGACGTTCTAGAAAGGCTCTAGGAGATGAGTCAAACACAAAACACACATTCACACACTCAGCCTCTTTTGGGGTGGGGGTGTCGCTAAAAAACATTAAAAACAAAAAAACCACCCATTTGAGGATTATGATTCTGGAAATTTATTAGGATTTTTTTTCTCCATTAAGGAAGCTACATGCAAAAGGTACAACATACAGAAGAATATCTATAAATAACACAACTCCCAGATAGGGAAGGGCGGTGTTGGGGGAGGGGGTGCATTCTGGTTTGCTTTTTTTTCTTTGCTATGCTCTTTTTCAATTAAAAAAATTATTATTTTTTTTGTTTGTTTTGTTCCTCTGAATAGAATTTCTGAGATGTCAGTGGCTGGGGGATGTGGAGATACTGGAAGGGGTGGGAGAAAAGCAGAAAGCAGTACAAATACGAGACTTCAAGCAGATTATCATAGCGACTGGGAGCTAAAGACACAGAAAAGGGTTCAGTGGAGGCGCTGGGCGCTACAACAAACACACAAACACTAGCCGAACTTTCTGAAATGTCTATTATTCTAAGGAAGAAATGCAGCAAGGAAGGAGAGATTCTGACTGTGCTCTGAGAGATTACAAACCCTCTCTGGTTGGTATTTTCCCTCTTTCCCCCCTACAATCGGGTGAATTCCACCTCAACTTCGCATGAAGAACAGGGTGCTGTGTGTAAGTGCGTGGGTGAGTGAGGGCTTGACACACACACCAGCCACACTCCCACCCCATCTACGCGGGCACACGCCATACCCCACACCCCCAACCCAATTTCTCATGCTTTAGGTGGAAGCATCTTCGCAGCACGAACCATAGGTCCCTTGGAAGGAGAGTCTGAGGTCGTTGCCTTTTTTTGCAGGCGTGTTGCATTTATACTCAGGGAGGAAAAAAAAATATACCACCAGGCACAAAGGGAGGAGGGGCGGGGAAAGGAAGGAGGGGGGAGAAGGGAGGGGGAGGAGAGACCGAGAGCTCAGGTGAAATTAAAATTGGAGGTCAGTTCCCGGATCCGATTCTCTCGGTTCATTTTCTTGAGTTTCATTCTGCGATTTTGAAACCAGATTTTGACTTGTCTGTCTGTAAGGTTAATGGTCTTGCTAATCTCCAGGCGGCGCTCTCGCGTCAAATACATATTGAACAGAAATTCTTTCTCCAATTCCAGCGTCTGGTGTTTAGTATAGGGGCACCTCTTCTTCCTTCCGCTCTTTGCTGTCAGCCAATTTCCTGTGGTGTTTTCTGCCTTTATCTCCTCTGTTAAAAATAACATTATTTGCATAAGTATCCCTCAAAGACGCAAACCCTTTCAGCACGCTGCAGGCTTTGCCAGCCTGCTGAGGGGACGGTGGAGGATAACAGGGGAACTGCTCTCACCCCCACAGGCCCGGCTGGTGGGGTCCTCGCAGGCCCAAGGCTTAGAATCTCCCTGGAGGCTACACTTACAGGGTGGGGAATGTTCTTGTAGCCAAAGGACGCCTTAAATTTAAATCACCTAAGTTCACTTTGACCTAGAAGACCTGACCACTTTCGCTTTCCCCTGGCTAGCTGACCCTGGTGGGGACCCTGAACCTCACCAGGCCCTCCCTTTACTCTGTTCCAATATAGATCTGGAAAAAATCCAACCAGAAGGAAACTCTATTGCAGAGTCCACCTGCTGTCCAGAGCAGTGGCCAAAGGGCTTAGATATCTTTTTTAACTTGAATGAAGGGATCTTGCCTTAGTCTTTGTGGCCAGAGGTTATTGCAGCTGCCCTGTGCCAAGCCCCCAGCCCTTGAGCCTAAGTGATCAACCCCTTGCCAGTTCTTCTCCTGGCCATTTCCCAGGTATGTGTGGCTATGGCAGGGGAGCCTGTGTGGGTAACAGAGGTCAGGGGCAACAGCCCTGGGGCACTTGAGGGAACCCAGACAACCACCCTGGCCGTGGGAGCTAAGGTCAAGGGGGACATATATGCTAAGGAAATGCAGTCTCTTGAAAATTTTCTCTGTATGCATACATGGGTATCTGTAGAGATACACACATATGCTTATATACATACTTACACCCCCAGCTATGTATGGCGTATATCTTATCTTATTGATAGCTTCTCTTTATGGCATATATTCTTGTGAAAATGAACCAGTCCTTCTCCTCAAATAGCAGAAAGGCTTTGGCTAGCTTTTCTAGGGAAATAAGCAGAAATCCGAAAGGGGCACCCAGGGAAAGGATCTGCGATTCCTCTGTTGCTCTAATCTTATCCCTATGCCCAGCAAAGCTGTCGGCACCTGGATCTTATCTCGACTGGGTGTGTGGTGGGCTCCAGAGGAAACAGGAAATACAGGGGGTGGGGAGAGGAGTGGAATGCAAACTCGAGGCTGCAGTCTTAAAAATCGGAATTTTCTTAATTCCTCTCTGGGCCTTTGCACCTGCAGCTTCCAAATTGTTTAAAGGCTTTTCACATCTAACTCCAGTTGGACTTCATATTGGGGTAGCTGGGGTTTAGGGGGAAAAGAGAAATTACAAATTGGGAAGTTTGGCAGAAAGTCTTCTTGCATCTGACCGGGTAAAGACACCAAAGTGAGGGGCAAAAAGGGAGTTGTAGCTCGCAAGGGGGGGCTTAGGCTCTCTCTCTGTTATGGGGAGGGCAGAAAGAAAGGCCAGCCTACCAAAATTAGCGTAGTGAAAGTTAGGAGGCAGGCTTGTTAACCTTGACTTTGCTTTTGGTGGGGCTAAAACAGAGATTTTCCTGCTCCAGACCTGCCCCACACTAAGGTTAGAGTCTGGGGAGCGAGTGTAAAATGAAATCTTCATGATGCACACGTGTCTCCTCACCATTATGCATATACCCAATGTTCCTATTACTGCCAGGGAGGTTCTATGGGAGAATTTGGCAAGACCACCTTTGCAGAATGGACTCCAGAGGATGAGGTGATAGGATACGCTTGCCCGCTAAAAGAGTGTGCATGTGCGTGCGTGTGTGTGTGTGTGTGTGCGTGCGCGCGTGTGCATGCATGTGTGTGTGTGTGTGTGCACAGAGCATGCAAAAGGGTGTGTGAGTGTGACACATGTCCTGCCAGGCATGGGTGTGTACCGCATCCATATACAAAGATCCACAAGATCCAGGCCGCCACCAACCTGTTTTGCCTTCAATATTTCATATCCTTCTCTCAGCGAACGAGCTACTTGTATGTACACAGCAGTCAGCAGCCAGTGTCTAGGGGAGCAGGTTTATTCCTCCCCATGGAGCCTTTTCAGATGACTTTTGCCTCAACTTTTCAGGCAAAGTCGGTCCCCTCATTCTCCTTTCCTTGCCTGCTTCCCTCCACATTCTTTCTCCAGGTGTAGAGAAAGATTTTGGCGGTCCTCAGTTCCTACAGCAGAAATGAATCTTGAACCCCGAGCTTGAACTTTGGCTAGGCTTTCTCTCTTCAGCCAAAATCACAATGAAATTTAACCCAAACCACATTCCCTTTCAGGAGAAAACCGCTTGCCACACACAGAGACATTTCCCAGCTATTTGTAAGCTATTTTTAGGAAATTAAAGCAAAAACATTGTTTAAAATTAAGATAAAAGGAAAAGAAAAAACTGAGATCCAGGAGAGGTAAAAAACCCAAACCAAACAACTTGTCCCATTCCAGACGCCTCATTCCAGCGCCATCCTTGAGCGGGGCGTCTGGGGGCAGGAGGGACGTGGCGGGGGCAGCCCTTCACCTCCACCTCTTCCGGCCCCAGCCCTGCTGCCAGATGCCGGGGCCAAGCCAAAAACCGCAGGAGCCCAAACCGCAAGCACAAATCAAACCCATAAACAACAAATCACGTTCAGCAGAAAACAATTTCCAACTGGGAAAACGCAGTAAAGCAAAATGCTCCTTCTCCCTAGTCACTGTCCCAAGATCGCCATTTTAGGCTTTTTTGTAAGCCTGTGACCTGAGCTGGGAAACCAACTAGCTCCCCAGGACAGTAGCCTAGAGCCGGCGGAGCACAGCCAGCACGCGCCCCGGCGCACTCACCACCCTGGGTAGCACCCGGCGCCCCGGAGGCTGCCCGCGGGGCGCACCTCCCGGCTCTGCGCCCACAGCCGCAGCCGGCCTCCACCTCCACGTCGCCAATCACCTTCCCCAGTGTCACGACCACTAGGGCGCTCAGCAGACCAGGGTCGCAAGCCCAGGTCTTATTTTCCATACAGTCCCGGGCCTCCAGGGCCCAGCCCTCTTCCCCCGACCCTGCTCCCGGCCCAGCCACGAAGACTAAGTCCCCCAGCGCCCCAGCCGGGCCCGTGGCCCAGGCGGCCTTACCTTTCGCTTCGTTATCCGAGGTTTCTGGGCTGGAGCCGGCAGTCTTGGCCCTCTCCTTTTCGCTCTCCGAGGGGCTGCCTTTGGGGCCCGCCTGGCACTGCTCGGTCTTGATCTCACTGGGGCTGGGGATCTGACTGTCGGACTTAGGGGTCTCGGGGAAACTCACTTTGCTGCCGAGCTGGGGCGACTCCAGATGTTCGGTACGCGGGTTGAGGTTGGCCCGCTGCTCGAAAGGGGCCTCGAAGTCGTTGGCCCCAGCACAGTGTGGCGGCTTGTCCAGCGCCGAGTAGCTCGGGCTGGCGCGGTAGTAACTGGGCACTGGCACCTCGTGTTCCCCAAGGCAGGACTCCGGCAGGGGATGGGAGTAGAGGGCTGCCTCAGGGCCACTTTTCGGCCGCTTCTCTGCGCTGTACATGCAGCAGACATTCTCCTCCTTGACACTAGGTGGGTAGGAGCAGGAGGACAGCGGCCTGCCAACAGGTTGTTCCAGTCGGTAGGCAGCCTTAGGGTCTCCCCAGGAGTCCAGCTGCGAGAGGTAGGACGGGTAGGTGTTGAGGGCGAGGTTGGGGCTGCCGCCCTCGTCCCTCTTGGAGAGCGAGGGCGCGAGCCCGCAGCCCCTCATCACCCCGCAGTTGAAGTCACTCCCAGATTGCATATACATGCCTGCGCTCCGGCTATAGCGCTCTCCTCCGCCGGGCGCAGCCAAGGGCTCCGCGTACGAGTTCGGAGTTACATTGCGAGGGCATGTCATTTTCAGAGAGAGGGGTTTTTAAGGAGCAATACTACAGCGGAGGAGCTGACATCTTTTTTTTCCCCCATCCGGGAGGGGGGGCGGTTGGAGGGGCGGGAGGGGAAAGCAGGGGAGGGGGGGAAATATCAGCTCCATAATTATCCGCGCATTCGGTCCTCACCATGTGACGGCTAGACCAATGGGATTTGAAAATGGCCTTGATGATTCAGACGGCCGTGACGTCAGCGGGGTCAAGTTGTCGGCAGGCGGAGCGCGCAGCGTGGAGTAACAGCGCCACCTAGCAGCTGCCTCGGGGTAGGGGCACCGGAGCCCTTGCCTGCGAACAAAGGAAGCGCCCCGGGGGCGGAGGGGCCGGAGGGGGTGGAGGTGGATGGGGAGGGGGTCCTGGGGGAGAGTGGGGTTTGTTTACCCGGGAACCAGCCTGTAACTCATGGGGAAGAGGGGGTGGGGGGGGTAATGTGGGACTGAGGGAGAAAGCGAGACTACTCGGGGCTCAAAACAGTCAAATTCAAATTAAAAGGTCAAGACACGATTCAGGTACTTCCCCTCTCCTAACCACCCCTTTTCCTCTCCCCACGAACCCCCTTGCTGCTTCCCTTGGGGTGGGAGAAGAGTGAGATTTTTAGACGAGACTCTGGTGGGCAGAGAAAGGGGGGGAAGTTCAAGAATGCCAAAAGGACCAAAGTTTTGAGCTCTCGGGCCTCTTCGCCCCTGGGGCTCGGCCTTTGGGGCTGGGTGCTCCCAGAACGCGGGCCTGCGGGGTCGGTGGGTTTGCAAGTTCTCCGCCGGGGGTTGACTGTGACTTCAGGGTTTGGGATGAGCCAGAGAGGGGGTCACGGTGGTCACTTCGGGGTTGTTCGGAAAAGGAGGTTCCGAGCAGATGTAAGGGCCAGGGGACGTGGGCACCAGCGGCCGGGGATGCGCTGCCCCGGGACCCGGAGCTGCGGCCTGGAGCGCGCCGGGTGGGCAGCACGGGCCACTGTCCCCGGGGAGACAAGGCTTTGGCCTTGGAGCCGGTTCGATTGCTCTGCTCCAGACCCTGGGGCTCTCGCTGTTGGCTTGACCTTGCCTCTGTTAAAACAGCTACTATTCCTGGACAGAAAAAGGGAAACTGAGACGTCCTGGCGGCATTAGGAGAGTCACATAGCACACGGAAAACCAGAACCCCAGACGGGGCAAAATCCGACCCAGGGAAGTGTCCCAAACCGGGAACATGGGCGAGGGGGATTTTTGAAAAGCGAATTAGGAACCCATCCATTAAAAAATAAAAATGGAAGCAAAAAAGTAGGGGGGAACCGTGTGTTTCAGAGTTCCTTCCAGTTTTTCATCGCTTTTCTCTCCAAGCGAACTAAACTCTCCACCCCTTCCTCAGGAAACGGAATCCGGGGAGTAACTTGTCTTTCCGGTCGCCCCGCATTTTTCTCTGGACCTAGGCTCGGGTTTGGACTCTCCGGAGGACTGGAGCCCGGCGGGGACAGGACTGGAGCTGGGCACCCCGGCGTGGAGGACACAGGAGGGCCGAACGCCGCTGGACAGGCCCGAGGCGGCGGCTGAGGGGAGAAATCGGCCGAAGTGTCCCAGCTAGGGGGTGCGAGGGAAGGCCTAGGAGTCTCTGAACCCCCGGGAAAACTGGAAGGAAATGTGTGACTGGGTAGGGCCGGCCGGGAGGGATTGGAAATGGTTTGTGTTTTCCTTTGCAGGGGTCGCCGTGGGCTCCTCTCGGGGGTTGGTCGGGACAAGGTTAGGCCCCAGACACTTGGGACAGCTCAGGCAGCAGGCAAGTCAGGGAGCCATTTGTCCCCAGCCCACCCCGCGGGAAGCAGCCGAGACTTTATGACCACTCTGTTTGTATTATCTGCATAAGCCTTTCCCCACTAGTTTGATCGAAACCGTTCTCTTTTACGAGGACCCAACGAAAATTTCCCGTCATATTTATCAGCCGGGGATAAAAATTTAGTATGGGAACTGATATTTCCTCATTTATGGGGCGATGAAATTAAAGACCAAAGCAATTGAGAATTATATGGCTTTGGGGGGTTCCTCCCCCCTCTTTCACGACTCCTTTATTTTCCTCCTTACGTGTCTGTCCCCGGAGTTTAGCCTTCCAGTCCCCTGCTCTTGTCCCCATTTTGGGGTCTAGTGCACACTTTCCCCCATTCTCAGGTGCCTCTTGACCACCTCTGGCTTGTTTGGGGTGTTGTTTTTGTTGTGTTTCTCTCCCTTCCCCCTCAGTGTTAGTAGCTGAGGCTTGAAGCAGTGCTACTGGGGCGTCCACGGAGGCCGGTCTAGGACAGGATGGAGAAGCAAGGGACGTCTCAGCTTTGCGCAGGGGACCTTCTGAGCCCAGCTTTGGGGAGGGTGGGGGAGGCAGTGGTGAAAGACAACAGAAGCAAATTCCAAGTTACGCTTCAAAAACAAGCCAGAGGCTTAACCTGGGAGCCTCTAGGAGGAGGGGCACTCTGACCCCCTTCCAGCCGGACCCCCACATCAAGCCTACCCCTCAGATCACATTGCAGGAGGAAGAGGATGGTATCCCTCCACAACTCGTACTATTATTTATGGAAATAATACGCCCAGTAGAAGGAGTCTCCTGCCTCCACTCCCACTTCCTCACAAGAACAAATAGTGTTTAAAGTTGAAATAATTAGAAGTATGATAAACACGGCCCATTAATGAAAAAAAAAATCAAATTCGTCAGCCTAAGTGGGACCCCCGGTGGGACAAATGTTTGCCTCTAATTACGCAGAATAAACGTAAACCGGGCACTAAATAAGAGCCCGACTGAGGGGCTACAGACTTGAAAAACTTGTTCGGGTTTTGAAGACTTTAGAATTCTACCACAGTGGAGATAAAAAGAAGAAATGAGGGTGAAGATCCGTGAAAGGGGAATTTGTGTCTTGAAAAAAAAATGCCCAATGCCGTCAGGCCTGGGTCCCAGCCCTGCCCCCTTGGGCTCAGTCTTTCTGAGGCCACGAGCAAAGGCCGTATTGTCCAGGCCTGGCGTTCAAAGGCACTCGGGCTGCCATGGCCACTCTGCCCACTGCCCCTGCCCTACAGAACCAGGCCTCCAGCCTGGGACACAGAGTGGTCTGGCCAGCTGAAAGGCCCGGGGAGCCCCTGGAGTGCTCTAACCACTCCCCTTAGCTCCCTTAAGCGCGTTTCCCCAACTTCTTGAGAGCGCAGAGATCATGTAACTCTGTGTGGGTTTGGGGTTCCCCACTTCTTGCTTCATCTTGGGACTGAGAAAACCCAGGGGTTGCAGGCTAAAGCCTAGAGCGGTCTCAGCTGCATCTATGTTTTAAAAAAATCCTAGCCCTTCCAAGAATCCGGGGCCCTTTGCTCCAACCCTCATGAAGGTCAGATCCAGGAGGGCCAGCAGGGCAGCCTGGGCCTAGGGAGCTGTGGGCAAGGAGAGGAGACTCAGGGGATCTGGAGGTGCAGGCTCTGCTCCAGGAGGGTCCCGTGTTTAGCAGAGGGCACACCGAGGTGTTCTGCAGAGGTCTGGAGCTGTGAGTCTCATGTGAAAATGAGGACAAGAACCGAAAGAAATCGCAGGCATTTTCCGCCTCTTCTCTCCAAGACGCCCCCAAAGCACCTTGATTTCTCTATCCCAAATTAGCAGTTTCTCTATGAGGTTAAGGAAATCATCTGGGACATTTTAAAGTTGAAGTGAAAACCGGAGAGTGTTTCCCGTAGGGGTAAAGGAATAAAATGAAACAATAATCAGACATGTGTATGGGATCACCTTCAAGCAAAATGGAGAAGAAAATTTTAAAAAAATCAAATAAAAGTGGCTGACATTGCCATGTCCCTTTTCGCTTTGGAGACCCAGAAAACCCGTCCTCTTCCCCAAATTTAAAGACAAGAATTACTTCTCTTCTGCCTCTTTTCTAGCTAAATTGAAAGCGGGGGGCGGGGGAAACCCAAGCAAAATGTGGAATGTTCAGAGACCCAGAGGAAAAAAAAATTAAGATTTAAAAGCATGTACAAGAGGAAACAGTGCTGAGTCGCTCGGAGTGGCGTCTCTGCTCCGGAATTCACAGCCGCCGGGGCAGCCCGACCAGCGGAGTGGGCGCGCACATCTGGACGTTGTACAAACTTGCACCCAGTTGCTCTGGAGCTCTGCGTCTATACAAGTGCCTAGACTCCGCCTAATTGGGGGTACCCAGCCACAAATACTCCTTTTTGCCGAAAATGCTCCCTGCAAGCCCGGTATCGCGTCCTGAAGTCGGAGAAAGCCGCCCGGGCCGACTGCTCCCTGGTCTCACTGAAATCAGGCCGGTTTTTAAACTTTTGAATTTAAACAGGACTGCAATCATTTGGGTGAAGAGTTCCCAAGGAGGAAATGGATGAGAGGAAGTGTTTGGAGGCAAAGCCTGGGCTCCCGGGTTTGCATTTAGGTCACCCCCGTAAGTTGGGGTCCAGGCGGAGCCGGGCTGCACGGGCGGCCTTGCTCAGGGGGCGAACCCCGCTCCTCGCTCTCCGGCTACATTCTTTTCCTCAGTTCGGAGCCCTGCACGGAAGCCCCGGGACTGAGCTGTCTGGTTCCCATCGACACTCTTGGGTCTTTCCTTCCTTTCTCCTTATTGGCCTCTTTCTTTCTCTAATTTGCCTTTCCCCAGCCCCTCTCCTGCTTTCTTCTAATTTTACAGATCTGTTGTCTTTGTCTTTTCTCACCTTTGGCTTCTTTAAACCACGTTTCTCCTTCCTTTATGACATACTTTAGTGTTTGCTCTTTGCTTGCCCTCCTGCCTTCTCCCCTTCGCCTTGACTTTCCTCCCTGGCCTGTCTGAGGTTTTCTGTGGCGCGGAGCTCCCTTGAATCCCTTCTCGGGCCCCATCGCTGAAGCTTGGAGTTGACCTTCTCCCGCCTTCGGCCTCAATTCCGCCCCTCACAAGGCGAAGGCTAGGGCTGCCTGCCAGCAGCCAGCCAGCCGCCAGGCCGCGACAATCGCCATTAGAGGAAAGGAAACGCAGGCTCCAGCCATCTTCCCAGAGAATACAGATGGTTCCCCGAAGAAGCCGCTCTTCTTGCCGTCAGAGAACTTCATTTCTATCATCCTGGAGGAGCTGAGTCTACCAGGTCGGCTTTTGGGGGAGTTGCCCCATCCTTGTTCTGCTTTAAGCTCTAAAATGTCCTCGATTTGAGCCCAGTTGATTGCCCCCAAGATTGGACCAAGGGAAATGAGGGAGTTGGATCCAGTTCATCTCAGGTGAGGGTGGGTCCCAGTGGTCACCAGGGGCCTGGCAGGCCAAACCACATCCATGCGCAGGTCCTCAGGGCTGCAGATCCTCCATCTTCTTTGGTTCTGCGAGCTCTGGGTAGCAGTTTCTTGGCATTTTGAATTCTTCCTGTCTTCAAACACACTGTTACATTGCTGTAGATGGGAATCCAGGCCCAGGGCCCAGTGTGCAGGGCTCCTTCCACGCTGGCGGGAGGAGTCAAGGTTTCCACTTTGTGCGGCGGGTGGGGGTCTCCTTCTGCCAGTGAAGGGTTCTGGCTCACCTTATGGCATCCCCCTCAGATGCTATCTCTACTTTGTCCAGACTCTGCAGGGTTGTGAGGTGGGTACATCTCAAGAACAGAGTGGGTAGGATTCTCTTGGAGGCCTGCACACCCCAAAACCAGGTCCAAGATGGGGCCCAGGAAGTTGGACTTCAGCCTTCAAATCTTATTTCCACTTAGGTAGAATGAAGTAGCCCCAGTCCTCCTCTCTCCCTCCACTCAAGGCCCCAGAGCTCCACTTTTTTCTCTCTCTCCCAAAGATCCTGAGAGCTCACTCTCTAGCAAGACCAAAACTTTAAGTTAAAAAAAAAAAAAGGTGGTGTGGTGGGGAAGGAAAATCTTGTAAAACTTTTATGCCAAACAAAGTTATAAAAACTTCCTGGGGCGTTGCCTCTTCCAAAGGTTTATATGAATAATAAAGATTGTAGTCGCGTGTACACAGTTCTGGCGGGCTCTAAGCAGACAGTGCAGCAAACGCTTTCCATCTCTGGGACACTAGGAAACCTCAGGGATTGCCCCCTTCAGGGAACCTTGGCCCAGAAAGGAATTGTCCTACAGATTCCTGAGGGGGCGGAGAGAGGGAAGGGGTGGCGACCTTGACTCCCTTGAAGTTCAAAGTTCTTCTTGGCGCTGGTGTAAAAAGGCCTCCTTGTCCTTAGTCCACTCGAGATGTTAGCCCATCATGAATTATTTGCCTTTAGTTAAGGTTCCATGCTAGCCTCAACTCCAGGTATTTTCAGACACCAGATCTGAACCTTTCTCATTTCCCACAAAGCAAGGCCCCCCACCTCTGTCTGGGGTACCTAGAGTGACTGACTTGTGGTCTTTCCCTCAGAGATGCTCAATGGGAGTCATGAACCTTCTTACAAAGTGGTCTTTGCCCAACTTTACTTAAACCTAGGGGTCTAAGTGTCAAAGGAACCTCAAATGCAAGCTGCTCTCTACTCATTTCTTTTTTTAAAAAGTCCCCCAGATTTCCCTTGCACCCCAAAGCCTGTAGAGGGAGAGGAAGGGGCCCAGAGCTCTCTCTCAGCCCACATCACTTAATACCCTTGTAAACTCCCACGTGCACTATAAACTTGGATTTTTACAACCAGCATTCCTCCTTAGCTCCGGGAAACTTTGAACTCGGCCTCGGTTTATTTACTGGGGGGGAGTGAGGGCGAGGGGGCTGGGGAACTGGAAGCTGAGAAAAGCCTGGAAGAGGGGGAATGCTAGCAATGGGGTAATGAGGTGGGGGGGTGTCTGGGGTGTGCTAGGAGAGCCAAGACCATCCACCGCAGGTTTGTTTACTATTTAGGGCGGAAGCGTTTTCTAACACAGGCCAGACTGGGTCGTTAAGGGCGAAATGAAACTGGGTTTAGAGGCGCGGGGGGCGCTTTATGGCGGCGTCTAGACGAAGATCTTTTGTTCCAGAGCAGCACTGTGGCTGGAGGGGATTACCCCAAGAGAGCCTGTGCCCAGAGTGCCCCTGGTCAGCAAGGGGGGCTGGACGTCCTGGGGGCCCCAAGGTGGGTTTGTTTAGGGTGAAGAGATTCCATTTCCCCTTCCTTTTAGAGATATGTAGAGAACTGGTAGGTTCCCAGGCCTGCGTTACTGAAATCTTTGTTGTTCTTTCAAGATGCACCATCCACATCTTTTAAAAAACCCTCCAGGAGCTAGGGATCTTTCTTTCTTTCTTTCTTTCTTTCTTTCTTTCTTTCTTTCTTTCTTTCTTTCTTTCTTTCTTTCTTTCTTTCTTTCTTTCTT